GGCCATAGGGAGATGAGACAATGGAGGGCTAGGCTAGGTTAAGGGTAACAGAGAATTGAGAATTGGGAGATTGGGTTTAGCCACAATGAAAGGCCAGTTGATAGGATTATAGCCACAAGGGAATGCCAGAGATTTGGCCATGGTGGGGGGAAGCAGGGTTTTTCCTTTTCAGGGTCCACATCCCAACCCCATCATGATGAGATCACCAAGTGAGAGTATATAGTGCAAAGAGGGTCCAAGACAGACCTCCGGGGTATATTCACGGTTGTTGTTGTTTGTCTTTCATTCTCAAAGAGTACCATGACAACAGGAGGTGAGAACTTGCTAATAAATTGGATTTAAGTGAAGGAGGGCTGTGCAAAGTCACCAGCCTTACTTTCTCCTCTGGAGCCATCTGAGCCCGGCGGCAAGAGATAGATCAGGCTGATTGGAGATGGTCCCACATGCTCCTGGTGAGTAGATGTGACATGGATGAAAAGCCAGGAAACAAGACTGAGGAGTGGCCAGATGGGAAGGAGAACCATGAGTGCATGAGGTCATAAAAATCCAGAGAGGATTGAATGCTATGAGACTGAAGGCTACAGAGCATTCTCCACCATACCAATAGAGAAAAAGGCACTGTTGCCATCCAGAACTCTACAACACTCACCTGGGGCCTAAACTAGTTTACCACATTAGCAAAGTCAAGAACAGCCACAGGGATTGGCACAGCAACTTTACTCAGCTCCTAATAATCCATCAGTCACTAGCTACCAACTGCTTTCTTCCTTAAACAAATATGGTTATCATAATGGCAATTTGTACAGCCAAATATTGCCCTTTGCTTTATCTCTATCAACAAGGACATGCCTTTCATCCCCTCTGGGATCTGATATTGTTTAATATTAGCTATGTGGCATGGTTCAGGCAACTCTATGGGCTTCCATTCAGTTCCACCTATGACAACTAGCACAGAAGTGGTAATAATCATGAGATGTTCAAGGACTTACACTATCTTGTAATTACACTGTCGTAATAAACTTAGCTTGGTTATAAATAAACACAGCTGTGACCTGGATAGGAGGTCTTTTACCTATTTCTCCATGAATAAACAAGAATGTCCTTGTTTTGATCATCTTTACTCCAAAGCTTTTACTTAATGGAAACTAGGGTGCCCCAAAGGACCAGTTGCGGTTTAGGAGTTTGGGGGAGCTGGGACCCCAAAATCACAACACATGAGTCCTGCCCGAAAGAATTAGACCCAAGCCTTCTTTCAGCCAAAGACAAGGTTTATTAGAACATCCGTCATTTTGGGCAGACTCTCAAGGAGTCTGAACATTAGTAAGCTATTGGCTATATTATAAGAATCTGACCAGTGGCTAGATTTTAAGAATCCAAGTATCTTAATGGAGACAAGATGGACCTTATATACAGAAAGACTATGGGAGGGATCTAGGAGTGGCCAAGTAGTCCATGAGGTAAGAGAACTCCAGGGGTGGCCAAGGGAGAATGGAGCCTAGCTAGGATTAAGGGTGGGAAGTGGCCAGGGGCCATAGGGAGGTATGGAATAGCCTCAGGAGAAAGCCAGAGATTTGGCCATGTGGAAAAGTCCAGGGTTTTTCCTTTTTGGGGTCTAGATCTCATCCTCCTCATTGCCCCCCTCAAACAAATGGGACCCAAATTCTTTTGGTATAAGGGGTGAAGGTCTTGTCTTCTGAAACTGCTTCCTACTGGCAAGGGGCATAGAGCTATCCCTGCCTCAGGGGGGTCCCAAAGAGGAGATTGACTGGAACTGAGCACAGGCTGCATCCAGGGAATGATGGGGGGGACATTGGCTGGTACCTGCTGTTTGCTACCAACTGTAGGTGAATGACCTGTAGTCTGGAAGACACAAATCTGACAGAAAAGACTGCAGGACCCAAATGACGGGATAAAACATCCTTAGCTCTGTTTGGAAAACTCAGTTTTCCAACCATGCAATTATCAAATCCATCTCAAAGCCAGACTCAGAAATAGCCATTTCCTTTTCACAGGAACATAATGGGGAAACTGAGCCAGGAGGATCCCATCTTAGACTGAGGCTAAAATTGTCCTCTCAGCTTTTCCCAATGCTGACTTCCCACCAGTATCACCTTCTCTGAGTAGCTTGTGGCATTTCTCTCAGATGATGAATTATTGATTATCGATGGATTATGATCCATCAGACAATTCAAAATAAAATCCTAGGAGCTTTTTACCTCAAACAGCAAGTTTCATTAATCTCAGCTTAGGAAAAACTTTTCCAGGATTTACATCTCAAACTTAAATTTGTCCTGGTATAAAAAGCCAATCATTAGAGATTTCTATACACTTGCAAATTTTTGGCAAGCCATACATAACCCAAACAAGCTTTTTGGCTCGTTTACACATTAAAACAATAACCAACAAATTATTTTAGCGGTGACTAAATTATGAAAAGTTGCTTGACATAACTGATACAACAAGTTCACCAATCTGAAACTTGAAACAAACCCATTACCAATCAGGTGACTCCAGTTTTGTCAAATTGTTAAATTCATTTGTTAAATTCATTTCCAAATTACTTTACACAGACAATCAACATCTCATCATTAACAGTTAAAACTAAATTATAAAACAGCGTGCTTACCCAAGCTTGGAGGCTAGCTTCTTTACCTTGAGCAGGATGTGCTGAACGTGGGTGATGCTTCCAGGCAAAGGCTGCCCCAGGGCCCAAGGCCATTGCCAGTGGGGCCCATGCTGTAGCTGCTGCCCCTCCCCCCTCCTTCCTTTCCCAGGTGGGGAAGGGTGAAATCAAAGGTGAGGGGTAAAGGGTGAAACTCTCTTCTCTTATGAGAGGGGTTAACAGATACCCTCTTGACTCAAGGGAAGGGAGTGGGAGAAAGGAGTAACCAGGGTTATAAGGAGGAGTTTCAAAATAATCAATCACAAAACCTCCAGAATCTGCCAAGACATTTTTAGCTGTTCTAACTTTTCCCTGTAATCTCCATGAAGGAAGATTTAGGGGTGTATAGGGAAGGAAGTAAGTAAGCCTCAGGGAACCAAAAAGCAACTGCAATTTTCCTCAATTCTCTAGCGCCAAGAGAGCTGACAGAATTGGGCATACACTTCCAGATAGGGCATCTGTCCTTGTCCTCTCTGCTGCAGAAGGCATACCCAGGTCCACGGCCTTGAACCGACCCAGTGGACCCAGAGCCTGAGAGCATCAGGCCGAGTGCAAGACAGCCTCATAACTATCTGCCTGAAAAGTACCTCCAAGCTTTGGTGCTTGCAGAGTGACCCCAACTGCAGAGCAAGAAAGGAGTTGGGGGAGCCTTACATACCTTCCAGTCGTGGCTGGAGAAGAACTTGGGGTTAGGTAGTTTCCCCATATGGGCCACCAAAATGATGTGGTTTAGGGACTTGGGGGTACTGGGACCCCAATATCACAACACGTGGGTCCTGCCCCAAAGAATTCGACCCAAGCCTTCTTTCAGCCAAAGACAAGGTTTATTAGAATATCCGTCATATTGGGCAGACTCTTAAGAAGTCTGAACGTTAGCTATTGGCTAGATTATAAGAATCTAAGCCTCTTAATGGAGACAAGATGGACCTTATATACAGACAGACTATGGGAGAGATCTAGGAGTGGCCAAGTAGTCTATGAGGTAAGAGAACTCCAGGGGTGGCCAAGGGAGAATGGAGCCTAGCTAGGATTAAGGGTGGGAAGTGGCCTGGGGCCATAGGGAGGTATAGAATTATAGCCTCAGGAGAACTTTTGGCCATGTGGGAAAGCCCAGGGCTTTTCCTTTTTGGGGTCTAGATTCCATCCTCATCAGACCCACTGAGGGTCCTCTGGTATAACACTAACTTGGCTTCCAGTATTCAGGAACATTTGGTGCCACCCAAGTCACTGGACATAGGGCTGCTATTCCCTTCATGGCCTTATAGTTAGAATAGTTTAGGTCTTGGGGGAACCTCAGTCCTTATTGTACAAGAACTCATCCCAAGAGTTGCTCAAGTCTAGATTACAAAGATTTAGGAGTCTTGGAACAATTTGGAGGGTGGAGAGCATTCAAGGATATCCTAAGTTTAGGGGGATCAGAAAGGTCCATACTGCCCTGATCCTGGATAGCAAATTACAGTTTTACCAACACCTTCACTGACTGATGATCAACTAACTATCCCAGGGTTCAAGAACCACACCTAAAGTTTCCAATGGAAAAGGGTATCACCACCCTCTACCTACCTAACACTACAACAGGTTCTGTGTCTCCTCACATTATTCTCAGAATGCTTACTGATGTGGGTAACTACATTTACTATGACAGCTTTGACCTGGATCCCATACTTGAATTGATAAGTAGGTCAGCCCACGCCTATGAGGTAATGTGGCAAAGGAGGCCAACCTAGAGTTAAAACCTGACACCCGTGAGTTGTGGCTTGCCTTCCACCTAAGTAAGGGGCAAGGTTTAATGGCCCCAGATGTGGCTAGTCATAGAAGGGGAGAGACGTGGGCAGGGCATAAATCCAGTTCACCAAACCCAGGATCTGGCACACAGTAGGTGCTTAATAAATGTTTATTGATTGATTGATGCACCACTGCACAGGAACTGTCCTCTCCCCCCCTCCCCACAGCTCAGCTGTGACTCCCATCCTCCTGTTTTTCACTCACTTACCTGGACAGGGATCACTAGAGTCCTTTCCCTCTAACATGCACGGCGATTCTCCTCTTTCCAACTGGAAGATCATATCTGGTTTGGACACCTGAAGCCCTGTTATGGAGTGAGATGTGAAAAAGTACATTGGACAATTATTTCAGAATTCAAGTCCAGCCTCTTCTGAGAGACTTTGGTTCAAATTTCACCTAACATTCTTAGCTATATGATTTTATACAAATCACCTAATCTCTTGGGACTCAGTTTCCTCACTTGGAGAATAAGGATAAAAGTACTTCTACAACCTACCCTACAGGGTGACTGTGAGGACCAAATGGGGTAAGGAATACATAGAATGCTTTCCAAACTTTAGAATTTCACAGAAATGTCTGCTGGCATAACTATTAGTATTTTTCCATGTCAAGGAGAAGGTGGACTAAGAAGACCCAGCAGGTCACATATAGAAAGAACATTTGTAGTATTATCTGTGTATTCTAGCTATGTATCAAGGCACTGATTTTCTGTCTCCCCCACCCCCATTCCAACCCCACTTAATTCTACTGCCTCTCCTCTGTTAACTATTTCCTATTTATCCTGTATATAGCCTGTCTGTTCATATGTGTTTAAAAGTTGTCTCCCCCATTAGACTGCAAGCTTCTTGAGGGCAGGGCCTGTCTTTTGCCTCTTTTTGCATCCCCAGCACTTAGCACAGTGCCTGGCACATAGTAGGTACTTAATAAATGTCTGCTGACTGGCCATGCCTAGAATGCCCTCACTCCTCAGCCCTACATCTTAGAATCCCTGGCTTCCTTCAGCTCAACTGGAATGCTACCCTTGCTAGGAGGCCTATCCACATTCCCACAGCAGCTGAAGCCTTCCCCTCTAAGGTTATCTTTCATCTTCTATGAATCTTGTAGATATCTGCTTGTCTGCATGCTGTCTACCCTCTTAGAAGAGAAGCTCCCTGAGAGCAGGGACTGTTTTGGTCTTTCCAAAACCAGCCCTTACCTGGACAGAACCCATCCCATAGCCATCATGTAATTAGTGCTCATTGACTGATTATGTGTGATGGAGTGGGAGGAGAAAGTGAGGCTGGTGACGTTGTAAAGCCCTCCCTCACTTAAATCCAACTCACTTGCACGTCATGATCATGGGGTATGGGCTTAAGCCAAGACCTTTGCCCCTCACCCCAAAAAGAATTTGAGTCCCATTTGTCTAAGGGCCCCAGAAAACCCTTAAACTCACTTTGTCAAAGAAGTTTCATTGGTTCCCTGAGGCTATAATCCACTCAACTGGCCTTTCCTTATCTGTCTAGGCCCAAACTCCCAATTCTTTATTATCCTAATTAAGCTTAGCCCTCCACTGTCTATTCTCAGATGACCTCATTCAATCTCCCAGATACTCCCATCGGGATTCTCCCAGGATCCTTCCCCCCCTCCCCCAGTCACCCCAGCTTCAAGATTCTCCTCCCAGCCCCTCCTCCAGTCACCCCAAAGTACTTGACTGTATATAAGATCCATCTTGGCCACCATTTAGGGACTGAGATTTCCTCATGCCCACCTGTCTTTACAAGGATCACAAAAGGTCAGATTCCTTAAGACTCTGGCCTATATGGTTCAAGAAAGATTGGGTCAAATTCTTTCGTTGAGGACCCACATGTCATGATTTTAAGGTCCCAGCACCCTAACATCTAAACCTCAACAATGGCATCTGGTCCTGTTCAAGAACGAAGGAGCAACCTCTGTGAGTAGAGAATTTACAGTTGGGCAACATGGCTTCCTTCCTTCCTTCTTTCTTTCTCCCTTCCTTTCTTTTTTTCTTTCTTTTCTTCCTTCCTTCTTTCCTTTCTCTTTCTTTCCATCCTTCTTTCCTTTCTCTTTCTTTCCTTCTTTTCTTTCTCTCTTTCTTCTCTTTCTTTTCTTCCCTTTCTTCTCTTTCCACATAGAGTATCACACCTCTTACCTGCAGGTGTTCTGCCCAAAGGGAATGTAAATTTTAATCTCCTTTTCTGTTGTTATTTTGGTTTTTTTCTCTTAAAGACCAGCCTCAACCCTAAATCACTCTGGTCCCAGACCAAGTCCTACTTGGTCATTGTTTGAGCCCTGATTGGCTCAGAATTAATGTAAATAACAATTGTTTCTGTTTTGGCCAAAAACCCTGAGGGTGTTCCCCTTCCAGATCTATTTCTTTTTTTTAAAGAGGCCATTCTTTAGGTGGCTAAGTGGATTGGACCCGAGTTCAAATCCGGCCTCAGACACTTGACTTTAGCTGTGTGACCCTGGGAAAGTCACTTAACCCCAATTGCCTTACCAAAGAACCAAAGAGGCCATTTTTTGCCTCATTTTTAATTAAGCCTTAATCACTTAATGGGCACTGCCTCAGTCAAACTGAGACATGTTAAAGACCTTAGTTTGAAAAGGCCAAGGTTCCCTACTGCATCCTGGGCCATCTCCAGTTGTCCTGGACTCAGATAGCCACTGGACTCAGATAGCTCTGGAAGATAAAGTGAGGCTGATGGCTTTGTACAGCCCTGCCTCACTTAAATCCAATTCACTTGCATGTCATGGCATCACCTCCCCGATGATGTCATGGTCCTCTTGAAGAATGAAGAACAAACAGCAGCAACTACAGAGTGGAGAGGGTCTCCAAAGGAAAATGTGCTCACAGGACCTGATCTGAGAGAGAAATGGGGGTGGGGGTGGAGAGGAGAGAGAACAAGTAGCTCTATAGCACTTACTCTGGGCCAAGCACTCTGGGCTAAGCTCTTTACAAATACGGTCTCTGATCCTCACAACCCTAGTGGGCAGGCACTCTTATCATCATCCCCATTTGGGATGAGAATCTTTCGTATTTTCAGTTATCTGCCTTGGTCATTTGGGGGAAAATGCTTGAAGCTGGTGGAAGAGTGGGGAGGGTGAAGATGGGACAGGACCATGAAGCTGCCATTTTCTAGTAGTATGAAGCAAAAGTCTTTCTCCAGGAAACAAAGAACAGAAACACCCTTTGTCTTGATCCTAGAAGGATTCTGGAATCTGTATTACATATTATATTGATGTGGATACAAATGGTGCCCTAAAAGCTAAAAGAATATTAAGGGCTACTCTCTGAGGCCCCCTGAGGGGTTTGAGGCTTGTTCCCTGGCCCATCCTGGAGCTTGAGGGCTCCTAAAGTCCTTTCCCCTTTATCTTGAAATACCATACAACTTGTACCGAAAGAATTGCTTTTGTTTCCCTTGTCCTGCATTCCCTATCCTGCCATTCATCTTCCTCATCCTATGTCAATGCAATTTTTCCTTATCTTGTAAGCAACCCTCTTCCTCATCTTGTTTGTTCTTATCCTGTCCCTAATCTTCAACCCCCACAAGAAACCCTACAATTGCATCATCATCCTACAGGCTGTATAGCTTTCTGTCTGTATAAGGCTGGGTCTTGTCCTATATTGGGGCCTTTGTTTAGCTCCTTGCCAATCTCAGGCCCGTGAAGCTTTCACAAAATAAAGCTTCCATTGGTTAAAAGAAAATCTTCTAAGTGAATTCTTTCACACCTGAACCAACTCTCCCAACTCTAATCTCAACACTCTGTGGTGCTGAAACCTGAGAGTCCAAATATTAATTGGGCTCCACTGACCTTCTCCTAGCCACTAGGATGACAGGCAAGTGACCTTTTCTTTGTTCTCTTCCCCAGGCCTTTCTGCTCCTAAGGTCTCCCTACCTGAGAGACCCCTGGAGTACCCAGCCACTGCCAGAGGCGTCTGAAGCTCCACAGAATTCTGGGCGGTCAGTCGGACTGTTGACACTCATATAAGGGGATGCCCTGGCACTGAGTCAGTCACATTTTTCCCTCTCTTCTGTCTTGGGATGCTAAGACAAGCAAGAGGCTGCTAGGAGACTTAGGATGGGACAGAACCAGGCAATACCCGGTGATCCTCCACCGGGATGCCTACTACAGCATTGGGAGAAATTTGGGGAAAGAGATCTTAAGAAAAAGTGCTTGGTGTTTTACTGTAACACAGCCTGGCCTCAGTACCAATTGGAAGATCAGGAGAAATGGCCCTTGAATAGGTCCCTTAACTATAACACTATCTTCCAATTAGAATTATTCTGTAGGAGGGGAGGAAGGTAGACTAAGGTACCCTATACTTAAAGTCTTATGAGTTTATCTCAAAATCCTGATCTTAGAGGAAAATGTAAAACGCTCTTGGCCAGACTGTCCTTCGAACCTAGACCCGAGACTTGAAAGAAAACTCCTGAATCTCCCAAGACTGGGTTAGAAAACTCCCAAATCCCCTAATTCCCCAGACATACTTGACCATCCCGCTGTGACTACTTGACCTATGGCTCTGCCACCCTCCCCCTCTTCCCCCGCTTCCTCTTCTATCTCCAATCTTTATCCTCGGCTCCCACCCCCTTACCAAGTCCCTCTAATATCCATCAGGGAACTCCCTTCCTTTCTCCCTCTTCTGTGAAGCCCTCCTCAACTTCCGACTGCCCCAGCAAATCCAGCCCCTATCCTCCCACCACAAGAGTTTCCTGATGCTGGGGGTAGCCAACACTAGAGTCCATGTTCCCTTTTCCTTGTCAGACCTGGCCCAAATTAAAGAGAAGCTAAGGGGTCATTCAGAGGATCCTATGAAATTTTCAGAAGGTTTCCAACTGACATTTCTCCAATTTGACCTCATGTGGGGAGACATCAATCTGATCCTCTCTACTACCTGCACAGTGGAGGAAAAGAGGATGATCTGGGATTGCACCCAGAAGTCTGGGGATGACATGGCCTTAAATATTAATGGACCCCACTATTCTCCTGGGGCCACTGTGTTCCCAAGCTCTGATCCCTCATGGGACCATAAGAATGATAGAGATAGCAGGATAGCCTGTGATTAACTGTCTATTGGAAGGGATAAAGGCAGGATTCAAAAAGCAGGTCTCTTATGACTGTCTGAGAGACATTATCCAGGAACCCAATGAGAACTCCTCCCTCTTTAGGAATAGACTAAGTGAAGATCTGAGGAAATACTCTGACCTCAACCCTGACTCCCCTGCAGGAATGACTGCCCTGAGCACGAATTTTATTTCCCAGTCAGCTCCAGTCATATGCCATAAACTGCAAAAATTAGAA